ACAAACAGACACCACTGAAGGTAATCAGAAGTGAGGAACAGAAAATGAAATAATTATTTTAATGTTTAGAGCAGCAGCAACTCCGAGAGGCTGCAGGCGCATCAGTGAGTTTGCGGCCGCCGCGCAGGGGGAGGGGGGAGAGGGCTGAAGCAGGGGGAGGGGGGAGAGGGCTGAAGCAGAAACTACCGTAGTTAAAAGAAATGTGTTTAACTTTGAAAATGTGGGCGCATTTTTAATCGTCAAAAACTCCAGCGAACCATTAGTTCATTTTGCTCGAAAAGAAATAGAGGCCTGCCTCTAATACTGGTCCTCCTTCCAATAAAGGCCTGGAGCTTGATGAGCTTGAGTCAAATACAGGCCCGGGCCTGTATTAGAGGATTTACGGTATGTCACTCTGAATTAGCATTAATGGCGTCGCTCATCTTGGCTCGTGCCTGCCCACTAGAGGGCGTTTTAGTTTTTTTTTTTTTTTTTTTTTTTTTTTTTTTGCAGCAAGGTGAGAGGGCATAGTGTGTTGGTGATGGTGACTTTGCCATGTGGCTGAACACGTTCTGTTAGCCAATCAGAAGCAAGGTGTGTGCGTATCATTAGTAATAATGAGTAATCCAGCTGCATCTCAGAACAGGAGAATTGCAGCTTTTTTACTGACTCATGAGGCACACTGCAAATGCATCGAATAAACAAGTAAACCGCACCTTCTATTAAACAAGATCCAGACGGACATTTTTAAACATCTGCTTCACTAGTCTGCCTTTTTGCAGCCAGCAGACTGAATTCAGCTGGAGCCTACGCTCTAAAACCAGGAGTGTGTTTTTGTTTTTAACTTGACTCTTGACCTCCACCTGCTTAACAGGTAAAAACCTCATTTATCTGCCCGTTCACATTAAAAACCCTACTGGAGTTGCTGCTGCAGCATTTTACTGTTTCATCCAACAGAATAGAAATCTCATTTAAGTTTGAAACGGGAAATAAAAATGTGCTTTCGTGCTTAAATCTGCATCATCGCTCCGTAAAGCCAAAACTGGTGCAGCTTCAGCAACAAATACTTCATGTGCATCATCCTGTGGAGTAAGTTGTCCGCCTGGTTCTGGCTGACAGCTGCAGGTGAGTTGATTAATAATAAAGAGTTCATCACCCGTGTCTGGTTTAGCAGAGGGATACTAAAGCTGGACCAGGTGATCAGCAGGACTTTTGGCCCCACTCACTAAAGATCATCTCAAATGTGCCGAGTTGAATTTGAACGCTTGATGTTTCTGTGAAAACCGTTTATTTCTGACCTGACGTCCAGCTGTTGCTGTGCTTGGACTCCTGTTGATGGGGAGCTTACGTCACACCCATCTACCTCCGGTCCGTGGGTCCCTACTGTCAAAAAAATGAATGGAATTGGATTTTTATGAAGCGATAAACGTTATGTTCTGATCTTGTTTGATGTGTGCCGCTGATTTCACACATGATATCCGTCTATGTGAGTGACACTCAGATGCCAAGAAAGCGCTTATTTTTGAATGGAGGCGGAAGTTATTTTAGGTTCTTTTGTGAAAAGACGTAACCGACTACAGCTGCTGGTCTCACCATGGTGACGTCATCAAACCAGGCAAGGAGAAGAAAAACGGCGGAGTTTAGCGAGCTTCATGTGCTTTTTCCACAGTGACAGAAGGAGCGTTAAACATGGATAAAACCACTCTAAATCAGACCTTGTGGAAAGTAACCGCTACGCTGGGGAGGAGAGTCTGCTGTGATGGGGGCGGGGTTATACACCGTCTGGTTTGTAGTCATTTTTACAGGCTAATTAATCTCATTAATCTCATAGTCGATATAGTCGAAGGTCACATATTTGTCATTTAAACTGAAGTACAAAAAATGTGTGAGGCAAAGCAGACCAGAAAATAGCCTTTAATGCCCCGCTCAGGGTCCCGTGAGCTGACCGGAAGGGGAGGAGCCTCCCTATGATGTTGGACAGTTCCCCAACATGCATCGCTTCCTGTTTCTGTCAACTCTGTTACTATTTATAGGCTCGGAGCGAGGCCGTTTTTCCTGTTCAGTACTCTTAAGCTACCTGTTATTTCCACTTCACATTTGTTGGATTTAGTCAGACTTGCAATCAAATAGATTAGTCGTCAAGTAAATCCAGATGATCAGATTTGGAGGACCTGCACTTCCCTGGTAGCCTGGCTAGCCATGCCAATGATTCCTTATGGGAAGTAAAGCTTGGTTTATGCTTGACGCATTCACTTTCCGCGCGGTGATGCGGCTCGCGGCTGGAACGCGCTTCACAACTCGCAGCGTTTATGGTTTGTGCGGCTCGTCTCTGCGGTGAGCCAATATTCTCCCAAACTGTAGGGGGCAGCATGGAGCTCTACGGCATGCATCCAACACTACACCATAGTAGAAGTAGAAATCACTGTTTACAACATGGTATTTCAGCATTTTTAACAGCGTTCTCGTCTTTTCCGACAGTGCGAGCTAATTCTCTCCAAGAATTATTAACAACATGTTGATCACGGTGATCTTTGAGAGCTGAATCATACAAATGTCTGTATTTACGAACCTCTGCCGTGCCGGTCCGCCATGTTTTTCCGCGTCCGACCGTCCGCGTGGTTAGAAATTTTCCGAGGTGCGCGTTGCGGAAATCTTGGGCCGTGCGGACACGCGGTGGAGGGGCGTGGTTGTTAAAATGACGCAAAATGACGCAACTTTTCCGCGCGGAGCCGTGCGGACCTCGCGGACGCGTCAAGCATAAACCAACCTTAAAGGGCGTGGTAACGCTCCCATTCAAATGACCCACCCAGTGATGCACCGATATTAATATCGCTGTAATGGCTGATAACAGATGTTTGCCAATACCGATATCCTGGTAAATGGCCTGTATTTGATATAGCGCCTTCAAGAGTCCTGGAACCCCCCAAGGCGCTTTACAACACAATCAGTCATTCACCCATTCACACACACATTCACACACTGATGGTGATGAGCTACGATGTAGCCACAGCTGCCCTGGGGCGCACTGACAGAGGCGAGGCTGCCGAGCACTGGCGCCACCGGTCCCTCGACCATCACCAGCAGGCAAGGGGGGTTAAGTGTCTTGCCCAAGGACACAACAACAGCGACAGACCAAGCGGGGCTTGAACCTGCAACCTTCTGATTATGGGGTGAGCTCTTAACTCCTGTGCCACCGTCACCCCCATACTGACATTAATGCTTCTAAAATCAGCAGATTTTGTACAGAATGAAAGGTGTTTGTTGTATTTACCTTATTATGTACACACACCACACACAGTTACACTTCTGAGAGATGTTCAGTCACTGTCACATGACTAAAATACATATCACCTCCCTCACCCTCTGAAACAAATGGAAACAAGGTGGAAAACATATCGGTTGTTAATATCGGCCCAGTTTTATTTATCGGACCAATACCGATATGTTAAAAAATGACTGACATCGGCTGATATTGATGCCGATTTGTTGTGCATCCCTAACCCCGCCCCCTGATAATTCTAATCGAGCCAATCAGTGCTGAGTAGCATACGTCACACGCGACTAAACAAACGACTGAAGCGGAGTTAGCCGCAGCTCTGCCCTCTGTTCTAAATGACTCGGACACGTCTTTAAAACCACGGGAAGAAAAGGCACTAAAAGCCGTTCTTCTAAAGAAGACGCCAGACGCCATCTTTGACTACTGCTAGAAAACTACAGTGTTGCGCGATACAGTCATCATTTCTGACTGTTTTCTGATTGGTTATCTTTGAGCTGGCTAGTCCCGCCCCTCATGATGCTCCCATCCAGACTCTGTGTAGAATTCAGAGGACGAGCCTGGCAGACCAGGCTGCCTCGCTGGTGCAGTCAGGACATATCGGTGGTGAAATATGAGACAAGCCACCTGAAATGTGTGGGCACGCCCTGCAGGTCTCTAGCGCTGACAAACACAGAAACTCTGTACTTTTCTTTGCAAATGACGTGGTGGGAGTCGGGTTTGTGGTCTCAGAAGGAAACACGACTGTTGCTTTAGATGTAAACCTGCTTTTATTTCAAAACGTGGCCTCAACAGTTCAGCCAGTGTAAGGGCCCCTCCTGCAGGACAGCACCGGTGTCCCCGCGCCTCCTTTTGCCTGATTTTCTCTTGAATGGAAAATACACGCCACTAGTTATGTTTATGTTTGTTTATTTGGCAGACGCTTTTATCAAAGCGACTTAAAATTTATAACCTATAGGGCGTGTTGTGATCTGTGGGCGAAACCGGAGGAAACCCACGCGTGCATGGGGACAACACGCAATTCCACGCAGAAAGGCTGCAGCCGAGTTTCGAACCTGCAACCTTGGTGCTGCGAGGCAACAGTGCTAACCACTGCGCCACCACGCAGCCCATCCAGTTATCCATAGATGGACTTGGTGATGCATTTGTGAATCTAAAGCCGCGTTTTCCCATCTTGTTGATCCTGTGAGAAAATCGGCGCACGACTGGGTTTAGTTTGATGTTTTCATGATGAATCTGTGTGATCAAACTGCACCGAGGTGTGGGGGTCAGACCTGGCCTCAGGAGTGGGACTGAGACGGTTGTTCTGTGCCCACCTGCATCCTGTCGGGACAGAAAGACGAGTGGGACACGTGCTTCTAGTCAGAAAGGCTTCATCGTGTCGGGTGGACTCTGTTCGGCCCATGCTGCCCTGAACTTTGGACCCGTCTGTTTGGGCTTGTTTGTTCAGGTTCATTGACACAGCAGCAGCCACTCCTCAGCCTGGATAGGCCAACACGATTCCTCCATTAATCACTGGTTTAACTGGGATCTGTGTAATGGTTTCAGCTTTTCAAAGATGCTGTTTGTGTCCAAACAAGCATCTCACCTGCAGGATTTAGCCTTGAGTGAAATGAAGACGGCACAGATTCCCAAACTTTGAACCCTTTTCCCGTTGGGTGGATCGTAGCTTCAGCTCTACGGGGCATGAGTGTGTAGCCGAGTGTGTTGTGTTTGTGCTCACACCTGCTTTCTTCTCCCTCCCCAGGTGGGCGACATGGTGAAGGTGACGAAAATAAACGTGAACGGCCAGTGGGAGGGGGAGTGCAAAGGAAAGCGAGGTCACTTTCCCTTCACACACGTCAAGCTGCTGGACCACCACAACGCCGAGGACGAGCTGAGCTGAGAGCGGGCAGCTGGGCCGTCACCTGGACACTAGTATTAGACCCTTCCTCACCTCCACTCTAACACCCACCCCAGTCCCTGCTCTACTCACCCCCCCTCTCCTCTGTCATTTACCTGCACCAAGATCAGTCTCAAGAGAGTCCCGTAGAACAAACCGGGCCTCGCCGGGCCCCTGTGGCGTTGCTGTCGCCAACCTCGTTCAGCTCATCGGCGCTTGATTGAAGGAGACACTTCACTGCAGCATTCAACCACTTCCTCTTCCTGTATCAGAGCCAGTAGATGGCTGCTCATCTTTATCGGTCGCTATGGCAACCGCACCCCTGTGGTCAGTTCTGCTGCATTCATGTCAAACGGGAGTACAGTAAGGAGGTGCAAAGATCCGTGTAGTTCTTCATAGATGTGGTAGGAAAGACTGAACACTCTGAAGCCATGATTTTGTTTGGAAGACTGTTAGCGTCAGTACCATGAATATGAAGTTAAAGCCGGACCGTTTTGGCCCAGCAGGATGGAGCAACACCTAACTGTGACTCTGGGTTTCATTTAAAGTGATAAGTGGAAGTTTAGAAGTTCCTCCTGGTTGTTTTTGGTTTGGTCGAAGCCAGCCCTGAGGGAACTACTACATGCTGGATGTAACTCTGAACAAGCATCTGAGACGAATCCTCGGTTTGCCCCGTAAACAACTAGCGTGCTTCGTAAAGGCTCACTACTCCTTTAGTCCCGGTGCACGGACTGGAGAACCCGTGCATGCGTGTGAATCCCAGCTACATGTAATGGATCCTCCTTCAGCCTGTTGTTTGTATAAACTTGTATGTCATAAAGCACTTTGAAAAGGCAGCAGTCCTGACTGAAGCTACAGAACTCTTCTCTGGCTACTACGTACCCAAGGTGAGGTCTATGACGTTGTATTTTTAAAAAGCCCGTACCTTACTGGACATGAATGCAGCAATGTTTGGGGTGAGCCCATGGCTGACAGACTGAAGCAGCAGCGTCTCAGAGTAGACAACTAACTTCAGGACGTGACCGCACTCGGTCCAGCAGAGCCAGTGCAGGCCTGCTTACCACCCAGTACCAGCTGGACCAGACCAGCAGCTGCTGACTGGACCCAGCAGAGAAGCCCTAGAGTGTGTGGAAGAGGTGGCGGTGAAGGCAACACTACATCCTCTCCTCCCAGTCATCCCTCGCCTCTGACCAAGCACCACCATGTAGTTTCTGTCGGATGGGTAGAACATGTTGTTATGATGTACTGTGTGGTCCTCATCTCATGCTAAATGTAGGTTTTGCTAGTTTTCTTCATAGCTGATTTTGTTCAGGGGTGCACATTTTTATTTTCTTGTTGCATGCTGGGATGGGCCGGCAGCTGGGCGGTGCATCGGTCCTGGCCCCCGCATCTTCTCACGGGCCAACTGGTGCCTGACTGAAGTGTAACAGACTGAATGTAGGCTGCCACCGCACCAGTTAGTCAAGTTCCCTTCTCCGTTAGTCCACCCGACCTGAGATCAGCAGGCTGCTGCGTGTTGAAGGAAGTGCAGCGAGGAGTTGAGTGGTTATCATGATTTTATCTTCACTGTCACCTCTCACCAAAAATTCCTTTAGTACTTGTCTTTTGTGTGTTCTTCCTGCTTTAATTGTGTCACAGGCCAAACTGAACGGTTCCTCTTTAAACTTTTTTTGATTTTTGCCGTTTTCTTTCCAAATAATGAGATTTTTGTTTTCCCAGAAAATGTCCAGTTTGTGTTTGATTTGCGTGTTCACTCCCAGCGCTCAACGCCCCGTGTAGCACCAGGCCCGCTCGTGTGAGTGGAAACGGGTGTGTGGCAGAGGGGGAGCTTCACCACTAAGGAACGTACTGGGAGGACGATCCCACCAGCTCCACCTGGAGGTGCCCCTGCTGACGGGGCCACGTCTGCCACAGCTGGCATAAGTAAATGCTTTGTGTTTAGGGTGGTGAAAGCATCGTCCGTTGCTAAAGTTGCCTCTTCCTGATGGTTTAGTTAAACTTTGATGGTTGGACCCGAGGTTTGTGGTTTCAGTGGCTGTAGGTAAACGGACTGCCGTCTTCTCTCTGATTCTGGACAAATGCAGCTTCCCCACCGCTCCCACGGCACCTGGCAGGTACTCCGCCACGTGATTCCTGTCTTATCCATTGTGTTGCCAATGAAACCACCAAGAAGTATTTTTTTAGTTGCCCTGCATGAAGTCATTCATTTCCTTTCAAACGAAGGATCGGGTGGCATGATGCCAGTGAAAATTGTGTAATATAAAAATGTGCCATTTTATTACGACACTATATTCTTTAAAAACAATTGAAATGACCTTATTTTCTGTAGCATGTAATGTGTTAATATACTAGAAAGTAAAGCCAACCCTATGAAATGATTTGTTTTATGTCTCAGTGTTTTTGATATGTTTTAAATGTATGACAATGAAGTTAGGAACGAATCCTTTAGGAGAGCGGCTGCTGCGTCTGCCAGCTGTGTTCAATTCATGATTAAAACTTTTGCCATCATCCTGCACCTGGCTCTTCCCTGGCAGCAGTGACGTTTGTGTGTATTCAGATCGGAGGATAAAAAGTTTTTAGATCGTTCAACGAGAACAGCTTCGGCTGGTTCTCTTTGCCATCAGAAGATACTTTGAGCAGCAACTGTAGGAATGGTTTAAAAGGATGCATCTGGAGAAATAGCCCGTAGTGTACCTCACACACGATCCTATTCAGTTGGAATATTTATTTACAATAAAACCGTTTCAGTAAAGTAGTGTGACTAACCTTGTGAATTTAAAATGACACATTCAGGTTTCTGAACTTGAAGATTGTTTGGATCATTTGCTGACCTAAATATCATAAAATCAGCTTCTACCAAGAATTATGACTTTTTCCTCCTAACAAGTCATTGTTTTCTGACTTGGGTCACAAGTGTTTCACATTCAATGTGCATGACTGAGAAAAGAAAACGCAACCTGCTAGTTGCATCTATTATCTTTCAGTCCTGGACAGCAGGTCTGCTAATGCCTCGACTCGTCAAAGACCAGGTAAAGGCTATGATATGCTTACCATACTACTAGGGCTCCATGGCTACGTGGGTGTTTGCCTCAGACATTAGTCATTCCATCTCAAGGTCTAGCAGCTCCGGTTCCTCACAGGTCCCATTTTAAAGACCATTTTGACAGATTTGTTCACCGGGCGTTCACAGCAGACCCTCACCACATATCTAGTCCTGCCAGGCCTACATGATGTCATCCCCTACCATGTGATCAGTTCAAATCTCTGCTCCTCTCCACCTTCGTATCTTAGCGTATGGATGTTGGTCACTGCTTACTATTGATTTGATCTGTTTTTAATGCATTTTTTCATCATGCTGTTTTATTTGCGTTGTCATTTTATCTTATGAGTTTTAACAGCTCATGTATCTTTTCAGCGCTTTGGTCAGTTTTTAAAGTGCTTCATAAACTTGGCTTGCCTACAAAGTCGATGGTTGACCTATCACCTTGGCTGTCCTCGCACCAATGGACACCCCTGTGTTGAACGTAACATTTGTTTTGGCCGAACTGCAGCTCGCCCATGTCTATTAACAGAAAATACCACTCAGGTTCGGATTAGGTGGCTGTTCCTGCACCAAGTCCTGCAGGACTATGGAGCCCCCCGCCGAGGCACCATCTATCACTCGTCTAAGGAGGAGTGGGAACTTGGAACTGATGTTTGGGGCATAAGTGAAGACATTAGTAACGACCTCTTCCCAATAAAAAGGCAAGCTACCGTTTCACTTTTCAGGGTAAATATCAACATGCAGGCAGAGTCTGGGGGTAATCAAAAGCCAGCCAGGTCAAACAAAAGAGATGTCCAACCCCTCTCAAGAGCAAATAGTTCTTATCAAGGTAAGCCTGATCATATCCAGATAAACCCATTTTGTTCTGCTACCTGATCCACATGGCGAGCCTGGACAGGACCCACTTAACATGAACCTGTTCCACTTGAAAGACTCCGATGATGTTCTAACCCAGAGAGAAATCTCATTATGACCTTAGTTTAGTTCAAATAATGTGTTATTATCTTTGGACTCAGATCAGGTTCCTGTTATGGAGGAACCTCCCTGAGTCAAGCTGGTGGCTATGTATGGTAAGAACAGGAAAATGTCTGGCTTGACCATATGAAATATGTAAGAACAGGAAAATATCTCATATACTGTTTCAAAATTAAACTTTTTGTAATTACAACTTTGTTCATGCAAAAGTGGCAGCAAACCCCTCCTGGAAAAGGGTGTTTGAGAATCACAGGTTGATGATGGAAAAGAGAACCCTATGGATGTTCTGACCAGGAAGAATGAAGAAGTCTAGCCAACAAATGTATTAACAACTTGTGGATTTAAACAGGTTAGTTTTCTTTAATAATTTCACTTACACTTTTCATTACTATGACCAATTCTGTAGTTGTTTGTTAATTAGATAGTGGCCAGTACCAGTGTCATTTTGCTTAGAAAGACGACTATTGATATGTTAAACAGGACTGAAAAGATGTGCCGGTTCGAATATATGTCAAAACGGCCTGCCTTACAGCCAGTACCCGGATGAGACTGGCGGCCATCCACTCCTTCACCCCGCACGTCGCTGCCGGTGGGACGGATCGAGACTGATCGACCAGTTGGTTTCTAGGAACCGCCGACAGACGTGAAGGCAGCGCCACCGTTTTTTTTACTTCCGACCTGACACTTTGATTTACTATTATATCGCTCTATCTGCCTCTTCTGTGTCGCTATGGGAGAACGAGAAGACCTAGTTTATCAGGCGAAACTTGCTGAGCAGGCAGAGCGGTATGACGGTAAGGACTGGATCAGGTTCACCGCTCTCATTCTACTTTTTCGCCCAGGGTTAGCTAAAGGAGCTGCTCTGCCAGCTACCGGGGCTAATTTAGCTATTTTCGAGCTAACCGTTTATTGACAGGACATGTGGCTCGTTGTTAGAAGGAATTGCCGTGTCCCTAAATCGATAAACAGTGCCGTGCGGCTTTTCCTCTGTTTTAATATTGTAGGGATGTTACAGACGCTGCTAACGTTAGCGGTGTGGCTACAACAAAATGGCGGATTGGTGAAGCTGTCAGGAGTTGCCTCCCCTGCACCACGCTGTCTCTAGCTTCAGCCAGGAGCTACTTCACTGACCCTGACACAGCTACCGACTTTACCGATTACCGGTGTCACACAGTTTAGTCCGCTGAAACGTCAGCGGGGTGCAGAAAGGCCGCGGAGCGCTGCTGCTCATGGTGGGGTGTTCCCCGGGCGAGCAGGGTGCACAGATGGGTCAGCGAGGATGACTCCGGCTCCTGTCTCTGTCATACCATTACAGGCCGTGTCGGGGCTGTTTTTAGTCCTCGCCACCGGCCGCACGTTGCCCGGTAACGTTAGGCGAGTGCAACATGACTCATTCAGGAGATTTGGACCGAGAGCACACAATGATTTACGGTTTAGTAGCTAAACGGTAACCCCGCAGGAATGTAGCTCAAAGTTATCACCATTTGTACAGTGTGTGTGTGTGTGTGTGCATGATCAAATATATATAAATGAGGGTAACGCAGTAGGGCCTCTCGGTGTGTGGAAGGATATTGACCCAGTTACATGAGACATTCCCTCAAAAATAAGATTTAGATGTTTTTATTAGTGAACGACCACAGAGTGAAGCGCGTGCGTGTGTGTGTGTGTTGTGATTTCTGCCTGTACTGTGTTACTCTAGACTGGATTCATTGGTAACTCTGCCCGTAGATGGTGATTCAGCATGTCTTCCACAAGGCTCCACACATCTCCGCTCCTTTAGACGTTAACTGTGTTTTGGACACTGGTCATTTTGAATCTTTCCCAAGCTTTTTGCAAGAAGTAAATAAGTAGTGTAAAGGTGTTGACGGGCGTTGTCTTTGCCCCTCTGACAGAGATGGTGGAGTCTATGAAAAAGGTGGCGGGCATGGACGTGGAGCTCACAGTGGAGGAGAGGAACCTGCTCTCGGTGGCCTACAAGAACGTGATCGGAGCTCGGAGAGCCTCTTGGAGGATAATCAGCAGTATTGAACAGAGAGAGGAGAACAAGGGTGGAGAAGAGAAGCTGAAGATGATCCGGGAATACAGGCAAACGGTAAATCCTTTAATAAACGCTGAGGAGGAAACTCTGCCTCACTTTCGCCTCAGTTTGCTTTGATAATATGAGATGTTGTTTGTGACTGAGCTGCTACTGGACAGCCTGCTTCTGAGTCATAGCTGAAGCAGCCTGCCTGCACTCCGGAGGCTTTATGAACCAGAATGAGAGCTGCTATTATTCTGGGAGAGGCCAGACTGTTATAGATGGGCGAGGCAGCTGGACTGCAGCCATCATGGCAAACTGAGATGAGTCCATTTGGATTTTCCTGAACTGCTTTCTCAGTTCTCTTGTGTGGCCACTACAGCCTCTAATGAACATTCAGCAACAATCTAACGTGTCCTGTAACGAAGACGGCTTCTAGCTGGACCATTAGTCCAAACAAAGCTCCAGACGTGGTCCAGGTAGACCCACTCCCAGCGGAGCAGGATGTACGACTTCTACTTGAAGATGTTGTTTGTGGTTGATGGAAGGTTGTTGGTTTGCTGGCAGGTGGAGAAGGAGCTGAAGTCTATATGTGGTGATATTCTGGATGCTCTGGACAGGCACCTACTCCCCTCTGCAGCCATGGGAGAGTCTAAGGTCTTCTACAATAAAATGTAAGTGTTTTCTGTTCAGATCAGTAAATTCTCTGGTGCTCAAGTAAACCAGCGACACGCGGCAGCACTGCTGCTATGAAAGACACGTTTATTTCTGCTGATGTTCATTTTGATGACCTACAATAATGCGGATACTTATTCTGATTTAAAATGAGTTGAGTGAAACGATGGTGTCTGTTGTCCGTCCGGCACAGATTTGGCCTGCTGTGGGTAGAAATGCGCTACACGAGTGCTCGGGCAGCGTGAGCACTGATGGTGTAGGACGTCTCCTGATGCTGTGTAACAGGTTTATGTTTCACAGCTACACCAACAGACCTTTAAGAGCCCTAAACAGTTCCTTAGGTCTTCTCTTGGCTACACATGGGAAGCTCCTGGGTCACAGACTCGGAGGGGAACGATGGGAGCTGGTCAGATCCAGCAGACTTCCAGAAACCAGTCTCACCCAGTAGCTGGTGGAGGTTCCATTTTGGGGTGGGATGGGAGTTTTAAAGCGTTGTAATAACCTCAAATGGATTTCCTGCCAATAACATTTTGTTAATGAAACACTTGAGTACTGAAACCACAGCTTTCATACGAAACTCCACGTGAACTCTGATCTTAAGGAGCAGCTGGAGAGTATCTGGAGTTAGTGACAGAGGAGATCTCGTCTTTGATGACGAATCTGCC